ATTAACGCTGACACCAAATAACAATTATTAAGGCCCAAAACTAATCCCGAAGGTAGATATAGAGGTAGCGTGCCGATGACGATCACATCAACCATGGAACCATTCCTGACGCGCATCCTCACCTCGTCCTTAGCCAATCTTCATTTCTTCCGCAACTCCTGTTTCGGGTTACAAATATGAGCAACCGAACCAGTATCAAATACTCAGGCGCTACTACGAGCATTAGTAAGGAACACATCAATAACATGTATATCAAATATACCTTTGTTCACTTTGCCATCCTTCTTAGCTGCCAAGTATTTGGGGCAGTTCCGCTTCCAGTGACCATTTCCCTTGTAGTAGAAGCACTCAGTTTCAGGACTGGGTCCAGCTTTGGGCTTCTTCACGGGAGTGAAAACTTGCTTGCCATTCTTCTTGAAGTTCCCTTTCTTTCCCTTGCCCTTTTTCTTGAAACTAGTGGTCTTGTTAACCATCAACACTTGATGCTCCTTTTTGATTTCTACCTCCGCCGATTTCAGCATCGCGAAGAGCTCGTGAATCGTTTTCGTCATCTCTTGCATGTTATAGTTCATCACGAAGCCTTTGTAGCTTGGTGGCAGTGACTAAAGAACTCTGTCAATAACACTCTCAAGTGGAAGATCAATTTCCAGCTGAGTCAAGTGGTTATGATACCCAGGTATTTTGAGTATGTGTTCACTGACAGAACAGTTCTCCTCCATCTTACAGCTAAAGAACTTATTTGGAGACTTTTTATCTCTCAATCCGGGCATTTGCTTGAAATATTAACTTCATATCTTGGAACATCTCATATGCTCTGTGGTGTTCAAAACGCTTTTGAAATCCCAGTTCTAAGCCATAAAGCATGGCACACTGAACTATTGAGTAGTCATCAGATCGAGCCTGCCAGACGTTCATAACATCTGCTTCAGCTCCTGCAGCAGGTCTGTCACCTAGCGGTGCATCAAGAACATAATTCTTCTGTGCAGCAATGAGGATAATCCTCGAGTTACAGACCCAGTCCGTGTAGTTGCTACCATCATCTTTCAACTTAACTTTATCTAGGAACGCATTAAAATTCAAGGGAACGGTAGCACGGGCCATTGATCTACAACGTATATATGCAAAAACTATTAAGACTAAGTTAATGATAAATTTTATTTCAAATAATCAAATTACTAATGAACTCCCACTTAAATCAACGTCCCTCAAGTTGTCTAAGTGATACATGATCCAAATCAACTAACCGATGTCTGATCATCACGTGAGATGGGGTAGTCTACAATGGTGAACATCCCTATGTTGATCATATTTACTATATGACTCATGTTTGACCTTTCAGTCTCCAGTGTTACGAGACCATGTCTATACATGCTAGGCTCGTCAAGTTTAACCCAAGTATTTTGCATGTGTAAAACTAGGTTACACCCGTTATATGTGGATGTAGAATCTATCACACCCGATCATCACGAGGTGCTTTGAAACGACAAACTTTGGCAATGGTGCATACTCAGGGAGAACACTTTTATCTTAAAATTAAGTGAATGGATCATCTTATAATGCTACCGTCATTCTAAGAAAAATAAGATGCATAAAGGATAAACATCACATACAATCAAAAATATATGACATGATATGGCCATCATGATCTTATGCTTTTGATCTCCATCTCCAAAGCATCGGCATGATCTCCATCATCACTGGCACGACACCTTGATCTCCATCGTTACGTCAGGGTTGTCTCGCCAACTATTGTTTCTACAACTATTGCTAACGCATAGCGATAAAGTATAAGTGATTGACACGTAGGTCATACAATAATTAAAGACAACCCTAAGGCTCATGCCAGTTGTTGTACTCATCGACATGCAAGTCTTGAACTTATTACAAAACATGATCATCTCATAGATCAACATATATCACATCATATTTTTACCATATCACATCACAACATGCCCTGCAAAAACAAGTTAGACGTCTTCTACTCTGTTGTTGCAAGTTTTATGTGGTTGTTACGGGCAACTATCAAGAACCATTCTTACCTACGCAAAACCACAACAATGATTATGAAGTTTATATTTAACCTTTTGCAAGGACCGCCGTAGTCAAATCGGATTCAACTAAATTAGGAGAAACAGACACCCGACAGCCACCTTTATGCAAAAAAAGTTGCATGTTAGTCGGTGGAACCGGTCTCATGTGCGTGGACATGTAAGGTTGGTCCGGGATGCTTCATCCCACAATGCCGCAGAATCAAAATAAGACATTGGTGGGAAGAAATATGAACATCACCGCCCATAACTCATTTGTGTTCTACTCGTGCATATCATCTACGCATAGACCTGGCTCATGATGCCACTGATGGGAAACGTCGCATGTAAAACAAAAAAATCCTACGGGCACGCAAGATCAATCCATGGAGATGCATAGCTACGAGAGGGGGAGAGCATCTACATACCCTTGTAGATCGCTAAGCAGAAGTGTTTATGAACGCGGTTGATGTAGTCGTACACCTTCACGATTTGTCCCGATCAAGTACCGAACGTACGACACCTCCACATTCTGCACACGTTCAGCTCGATGACGTCCTCGCCTTCTCGATCTAGCAACAGAGGCGAAGTAGTAGATGAATTCAGACAACGCGGTGGCATGGTGACGGTGGTGGTAAAAATATACATAGGGCTTCGCCAAGCACAACGGATATGGACGGAGGAGGAACTAGAACTAGAGGGAGAGGGGGCGCCACACACAGCTTTAGGATCATGGTGTGTGTTGCCCCTCTCCCTGCTCACATATATATAGGTGGAGGGGGGAGGGGAGGCTGCCTAGGCGCGCCCCCAAGGGGGCTGGCGGCCGCCCTGGGCGCCCCCCCTTCCTTCCTAGGGGGTGGAGGAGATGGCAGGAGGGGGCCGATGGCTCCCTGCCTTAGGCGCCCCCCTTTCCTTCCCTAGAGGGCCGGCGGACAGGAGGTGGGCGCCCCAGCCCCTTGTGAGCTGGTGTGCTCCCTCCCTTGGCCCGTTTGGCACAATAACTCCCCATAGGTCTCCCGGAACCCCTTCCGGTGATCCCATAATAACCCGGTGCATTCCAAAACCTTTCCGAAGACCAAATAGTATCATCCTATATATCGTTCTTTACCTCCGGACCATTCCGGAGCTCCTCGTCATGTCCGTTATCTCATCCAGGACACGGTCACCAACGGACACGGTCACCAACTACATAACTCATATAATACTATATCGTCAATGAACGTTAAGCGTGCGGACCATATGAGTTCGAGAATGATGTAGAGATGATCGAGACGCTTCTCCGTTCAATAACCAATAGCGTGACCTGGATGCCCATATTGGTTCCTACATATTCTATGAAGATCTTTATCGGTCGAACCTTTATGACAACATACGTAGTGGTTCCCTTTGTTTGTCGGTATGTTACTTGCCCGAGGTTCGATTGTCGGTATCTCCATACCTAGTTCAATCTCGTTATCGGCAAGTCTCTTTACACGTTTTGTAATACATCGTCTTGCAACTAACTCCTTAGTCACTTTGCTTGCAAGCTTCTTGTGATGTGTATTACCGAGAGGGCCTAGAGATACCTCTCTGTCATACGGAGTGACAAATCCCAATCTTGATTCACGCTAATTCAACAGACACCTTCGGAGATACATGTAGAGAACCTTTATGATCACCTAGTTATGTTGTGACGTTTGATAGCACACAAGGTATTCCTCTGGTATCCGATAGTTGCATGATCTTATGGTCGAAGGAATATGTATTTGACATTTAAGAAAGCAGTAGCAAAAACTGAACGATCATATGATATGCTAATGGGTGGGTCTTGTTCATCACATCATTCTCCTAATGATGTGATCCCGTTATCAAGTGACAACACATGTATATGGTTAGGAAACCTTAACCATCTTTTGATCAACGAGCTAGTCTAGTAGAGGCTCACTTGGGACATGGTATTTGTTTATGCATCCACACATGTATTTATGTTCCCGGTCAATACAATTCTAGCATGAATAATAAAACTTTATCATGATTAAGGAAATATAATAATAACCACTTTATTATTGCCTCTAGGGCATACTTCTAACAAAATATGTGATTGAATACAAGTGGGTGTTCAGAATAAAAAGAAGGTCTGATGGTACCATAGATCGTTACAAGCCTAGGCTTGTTGCAAAAGGGTTCAAGCAGAGGTATGGCATAGATTATGAGGACACTTTCAGTCCTGGTATTAAAGCTTCCATAATTCGTCATGTTCTATCTACTATTGTGTCCAAGCTGCCACAATTCGTCTTGTTCTATCTGTTGATGTGTCCAAAGGATGGATTCTTAGACAGCTAGATGCGCAAAATGTGTTCCTTCATGGTGTTCTAGAAGAGGAAGTCTATATGAGGCAACCTCACGGGTTTGAGCATAAAAACAAACCATTTCATGTGTGTAGGCTTTAAATCTCTCTCTATAGACTGAAACAAGCTCCAAGGGCATGGTACTCTCGTTTGAGCTCTAAGTTGCAAGCACTAGGTTTTGTTCCCTCTAAATCTGATACATCACTTTTCATTTATAACAAGTCACATACATCCATCTTTGTGCTTATATTTGTTGATGACATCATTTTTACTAGTTCCTCAAATGAAGCAGTAACAACACTTTTGAAAGATTTGAACTCGGAATTTGCACTTCAAGATTTAGGGGATTTGCATTTTTTCCTTGGCATTGAAGTTAAGAAAATGAAAGAAGGTGGACTTCATCTTTCTCAAGAAAAATATTCAACTGGTTTATTGAGTAAGGCTGGCCTACAGGGGTGTAAACCATCATCAACACCACTATCTAGTTCAGAAAAACACTCTCTTGTAGAGGGTCAATCCTTGAATCAAGAGGATGGTACAAGGTACAAAAGTCTGGTAGGTGTACTTCAGTATTTGACACTCACCGGGCCTGATATTTTCTTTAAAGTTAATATATGTGTCAGTTTCTTTATGCACCAACTGCAGCTCATTTGACGGCAGCCAAGCGCATATTCAGATATGTAAAGAGTACATTGAACGTTGGATTAACTTTTAGCAAGTCATCTTCTACTCTTGTTAGTGCCTTCTCTGACTTTGATTGGGCAGGATGTTTGGATGATAGAAGGTCAACATGTGGCTTTACAATATTTTTTGGACCTAACTTGATATCCTGGTGTGCAAAGAAACATGCAATAGTTTCTCGATCAACAACTGAGGCAGAGTATAAAGCACTAGCAAATACAACAACAGAGGTTATCTGGGTCATATCCATGCTCAGGGAACTTGACATACTTCACATACAAACTCCATGCCTTTGGTGTGATAACATTGGTGCTACATATTTATCAGCTAACCCTGTGTTTCATGCAAGGACAAATCATACTGAAATTGACTATCATTTTGTATGAGGGAGGGTGCTAGTAAAAAATTGGACATACATTCTATTCCATCTAGAGATCAATTTGCAGATGGATTTATAAAGGCCCTAGCATCAAGACCATTTGAAGAGTTCAAGAGTAATCTAAACTTCATATTATGGTGCATGTGTTGCAGCCATATTAGAGTTGTTAGGAGATAGGAGAGGTTGTTCAAACCATAATGTATCTCTATCTCTTATCCCCTTGTATTTCTCCCACGGTTGAAGTAGATCTTCAATCAAACCTTGTACTCCAAGCATCAATCAATATATAACCTGCGGACCCCTAGTCTTATGGGGGTTAGAGAAGCTTCTTCATAATTTTGACACCTGTATATATTAGTGGATAAAGGCTGAAAAGTTTTACTGTACACATATGATTTTCACTTGAAATGTGAAATAGATGTGTACCACTTTGGCTTGCAGTGTTGTTTCTGGTGGAGGCATTGCCAGGTAGTGAGGAAGGCGATTCTGAAACCATGAGTGGTCTTGAACTTCACGGATTGTGATTCTCTTCATGGGATCAACAAGAAGCATTCTTGGGATCAAATCCTTTGCAAGATCAGATAAATGACTTGGAAGGATATAGTTACCTCCCTGGAATACCAACCAAGGGGGCGTCAAATCTCCAGACATAAAGTGAATGCTAAAGTCCAACTAATCTACAAAGGTATACACTTGTCAGATCCAACTTAATATACATATGTTCTGTCTCACCGTTATCTTTTTGAACAAGTTGGGAGTATATTCATCATCAAATGGAACAGAGCCACAAAGAAGAGCATAAAGTATCACTCCACAGCTCCAAACATCAACCTCAGGTCCAGCATACGGTTTACCTAAGATAACCTGCGTAGAAACACTCGCTAAGCTATTAACGCAGACGACGTGTGTGAAGAAACACGAGGATACAGACGCGAGTAATACAAATAAGTGAATACCTCTGGTGCAGCATAGTTTGTACTCCCGCAGCTTGTCTTCAGAAAATGGTCATCATGCATGACATTACTTGACCCAAAGTCAACAAGTTTCACATTATATTTGGAATCAAGTAACAAGTTTTCTAGCTTTAGATCACGATGAACAACCATGTTTCTGTGGCAGTATTCAACACCAGATATGATCTGTTCAGGAAAAAAGTTAATAAAAAATATTGATACAAAACCTCAATATGCATTCAGTGAATCGGAAAGAACCCTTCAAATTACATATTCGCCTTCAGGAGGAAATACCATCTCTGTATGTTTTAAAGCACAATTTGATTTAAGAACTGACACTAAGACAATCAAGGCATGAAGAATAGGATGCCATTTAAACAAGAATTGGTTTAATTACTGATACTAAGATAATCAAGACATCAAAAGATGAAGACAACAGAGTGATACTAAAACATTGACACATCAAGGAGACGTTAACTGGTTGATCAGTTAAATCCAAAAGACAAAGCAATTAGCTTCGAAAGCTTCCAACAATATGTGGTATAGGTCCTGAGCTAAACATATCAGATTTTTCTTTCGGTCGAATTTTTCGGTAACACGACTGGTTACCGGAAATTTCGGTGAGCCCCGAGAAAAGTTGATACCGTTCGAAAAAGAAATCATTTGAATTCAAACGTCAAGATGGTGCCAAAAGAGAGTATGTATGGGCTACCATAAAACTGTCCACAACCAGGTGATTAAGGAGGCCTACTTCTCTGCTGGAGGTCGCCAAAAGTCAAGTCCACGTTTTTTGCAAACTTTATTTTGTTTAGTGCATAAAAAATATCAGTGACGGTGCCAATGATGAAGAGTCGAATGTGGGCCGTTGGATATCAGCACGGAAGGAAACTAGCTGACCACTGGACTAGCAACAACTTAGTGTGCACTATGTGTTAAATATAATATATTTATACACTAGAAATTTGAATTCGAAATTCATTGAGAAATTTTGGGCCAAAAAATTATGAATAATTAGTGATTTTGCGAATGATGTACAATTACTTCCGCATCGGAGGAGTAGCCGCCTGATCTACCTTATGGATGGATCGATAAATGTTTAGATTTCTGCGATTATGTTTTACGCGGGAACCGGTTTTTCCGAACACTCCAGAAAAAATGGCATCGAGGAAAAAAATCCTTGTCTAAAACTTAGTCAATTAATGCAAACGAAGCAAATTGATTACGATTTGCACAGTAAGCACGTGAGAAATGTGGAGACTGGACAATTGGCCAGCATGTCCATACATTTCACAATCAAAATAAGAAGCTCAGCAAAGTTCATTAATGAACACCTCTTGGTATTCCCAAAGAATGTGTTCCTACATGCCAAGAGCAGAAAGGGCACCTGCTGGAAGATTCGACGAGCCTCATCTTCCTGTAACCGCCCTTTCTCAACAATGTAGTCGAATAGCTCACCATTCTTGCAATATTCCATGACAATAAATATATCCTTAGGTGTGTCAATGACATCATAAACCCGGATGATATGAGGGTGAATGAAGTCAATGAACAACCTGGATATCTTTATTTCTCTATTTGCTGGAAACAAGATATGAGAAAACAGTAGAAGTAAATCGTTAGAAATTCAGCCTATGAAGAAATTCCAGCTGCAAATTTTACTAACAGCAACAACAAGAGGTAAGCTTTCTTCTGAACCAAAGCCGAATGTATACTAGACTGATGTACTTTATCTCGACTAATTGATTAACTGGGAATCAGGAACAAGCCCACAAGTCTGACCAGCACTGACATTAAGCAGATAACTCGAAATATTGAGTAAGCAAGACGAATGTATCCTAGACAAGGAGGCATACCTTTCTCTTCCATTTCCATTGTTTCCATTTGGCGGCGGTTCAGAATCTTTATAGCAACTTTGTGTCCTGTAAGCTTATGCTCTGCAAGCTTCACTTTTCCAAATGAGCCAATACCTAATGATCTGCCCAGATTGTAGTTCTTTAATGCTTCAGAATGTCTACCTCCTCTGGTGTTCCCATCCATTTTCACTATGTCAAAACAAGAGAAACGACATATGTGATTCAGCAAACAGTTTTATAGTTCAGTCAGGAATTGAGATCAGTTTCAAGTATATCGATCTCCCTTCTCCACTGTCTCCACTCCGATGATTACTGCTGTCCTAATTAAAGCACGAACATCACAGAAAGATGATTTTGAAACAATTGAATTGATTCCCTCTTCTTAGAGAACGACCGGCCTTGAGTGAAAGGAGCGGGCTGGCCATAAAAGACCACTATGGGACATGAATGGCGAGGGCAAGAGTGGTTCAAAGGTCAACAAAATGGGTGAAGTTCCCTTGTCAAATTTGGGGAAAGTTTTCTTAAAAAGGTTCACAAATTAATACTACCATGACTAGGCATATATGTGTTGTAAACATGGAAGAGATCTGACATACAAGAAATGCAGCCATCCAACAACTGAGCTGAAAAAACAACCGAGAACCAACTACTAATCGATCAATGTAATCAAGGGTTTTAACTCCCGGCATGGTCGATTCATGCTGGGCCGGTCGATCAATCAATAATCCCAGAAGATCGCTCTGAAGTGAATGTTGGTCCCGGCGGATCTGCGGCAAGCATCTCCGTTGGAGGGACGAAATGAACAGGAAGTGTCGCGCCCACCGGAATCCCCACAACCACAGTTCAGAAGGAGAGCAGCACACAAAGAAACTACTGTAGTAAATTCCCCACTTGAGCCAAACGCCGGATGGACAAGCAGCGCTCCCGGCCTCGATCACTACTAGTAAAAAATTAACAGCACGCGCGAACCACCACAGCTCTCTACCAAGCCAGGCAAGCAACGACGACGCAGAATCGCTACACTCCGGCGAGAATTGCAGCAAAGATGAGCAGGGCGATTGCCCTGATTACCTGGCCAAATCCCGTGGGCAGCCGCCGGCGAGAATTGCAGCAAAGATGAGCAGGGCGATTTGCCAGTTTAGTTCCTTGTGGGCTTGTGGCTGTCTTCCTTCTCTATCCTCCGTCGTTTCCCGGCCCCCGCCCCTATTTCTTTTCTTCTTCGGTTTCCAGTGCGTCGATCGATTCCTCCGTCCGTCGCCGGTTAATTTGGACGGTATAGGAATAGGATGGACGGCAGAGACGCTTTTCGGTCGCCGGTGACGCAGCGCTGATACGAAATATGCATGCCGTGCGGCCGGCGTTAGCGGTGAGTGGGATTAACTTAACGCGGAACGTCGCTGTGATGTGCACGACGCAATAATGCTAAATATACAAAGAGTTACATATAATTACACATTGATGAGGACGCTGGCTATATTGGATGCATGCATGCGCACGCTGCAATGTTTTCTCCAAATTTGTTTTATTTGTTCTTGTTCATAGTAACACTAGCACTGCCTCTGCACCAGTCACGATCCCGATAGCTGCTTATTGATTATACTTTCCGCGTGACACATCTAAAAAGATTTAGGGCGTGTTTGGTTGCCTGTATAAAGCTCAACCAGATTCGTGCGGGAAGAAAACAGGTTGTTTGGTAGATTGGTTTTATTATTGGGTCTGTATAATACGAATCTTAAAGCACCTCTGGACCTGGCTCATTGAAAACGCTCAGAACGACAGTTTTTCTTGAGCCAGACCAAGCCGAGCGCAAACGAGTGGGCCTTGCACGAGTAGAGATGGGAGGGATGCCAGGTGATTACCTGAGGTCTTCTTCAACCTCTACTGAGCTCCTATCTAATCTCCTCCATCTGATCTACACAACGGTGCGTCGGTTCGAGGTAAGCTCTACACGAAAAAGATACACCTCGATGCTACGGTTCCATTCAGGCGATCGGTTCGTAGTTTCATCGGCCATAAGTTCTTAATCTTGTGTTCCCGTTTGAAGCAATTCTGGATGAATTTTGTCAGATTCGTCACGCATGATCGATCATTTGAAATTTTCTTTGACCAGCAGCCTAATCTCGCAGTTCCTCACAACATTCGTGTTGTAAGTTTTTGGTTTTGATGATCGTAGCTTCGTCTCTCTTTGAACAGCAGTCTACTGCACTAAAGCCGCCATGTCTAGCTCCTCTGTCCTCTGCTCAGAGCCCTCTTATTCGTTCCTCTCGACGCCGAAGCCTTTCTCCTTTCCCGCGTGCTACTACACTAGAGCCGTTTCCGGCGTCGCTCATCTCGGCCTACTCTCTGTTGTCCTCCTACTACACTAACGCTGCAATGGCGCGCACACTGCTTTCTTGTGTCCTCTGCCTCCGTGCACACTGCAGTTTGCCGCGCCGCTGACGGGGTCGATCATCTTCGCTTCCTCTCTCTCGCCCTACTACACTGGAGTCGTTTCCGGCGTCGATCATCTCGGCCTCCTCTCTCGTCCACTGCACTGACGATATCATGGCGCGAGCACTGCATTCTCCTCCTCTGTCCGTTGTCTTTGCGCGAGCACCGCAACTAGTTCACCGACGGTGTCGCTCGCCGTGCCGCCAACGGGGTCGCTCGTCCACGACTCCATACTCGTCATGTCGGACAAGGCGCCACGGCCACTATCCACCGCAGTCGCCATAATCCGGCGCACACTGTATTTCTTCTCTCGCTTCCTCTGCTAGTTCTTAACCCTGTGTGCTAAGTGCAAGTGCTAGCTCTTAATCATACCCCATGCAGGTAACCAAACAGCGTGTAGTTGCATGCGTCAAGACAATGCAGGCAACCAAATAACGTGCCAAAGTTGATCTTGCAACCAAACAACTCGCAGATGTTGTATATGAGGTTGTTTTTTCAAAGCCAGACTGAGTAGAGAAGGATATGCAACGTAGGTACTGTAGCGCATGGCAACCAAATATACCATTGGTGTTTTCTCTGGATTTCACGTGTGCGATCGACACAGGCTATGTACATGCGCGACAAGGTGTGAGGCATGCATGCATGCATGCGCGCGCGGCCTCGAATGAGCGTCTACTCCGCGGCCTCGAGTGAAAGTGCGTTGCGTCAAGATGTACTCCCGATTCGAGGGGCGTGAAGGTGAACTGTGCTTTGTGAGAAAGTATACTTCCCTCCGCGGTGTGACAAAGTGTACTGCACGCACGGCGTCAGAAGATGTGCCATAATCCCGTTGCAAATTTAGTTAGTTTTCTTTTATCCCATAATGTAAGACTTGAAAAAAAGTCTTACATTATGGAAAGGAGGGAGTATTACTTAGCAAAACAAACGGCCGTGTGCATGTCTACATGACTTGGTCGAGCTAGCTTCTGTTGGTTGGTTAGCTAGTAATAGGCGCGGCCTTGATCCGGTCATGGGATGAGGATGTCATGGCAAAGGTGATCGCGGCACAAGCACGCACCTTGCCCACATCGAGCGTCGTGGAATGGCACGACCGTCAAGTTTGGCATAGGAAGGTTTTACTTTCTATAAGCATGGGACAAATAAATAGGGAGAAAGAAAAGGAAGCGGCAAGTTGAATGTTGCGCACGCTTGTCTTCTAGCTCAGTTCTCTTTGTAGTCATTATCTTTCTCTTTCGGTAACATCACGTGACATCAGAGACATGGCTTCCGACGGGGATAACTCTGACATGGCGGCGCACTCGCGCACTCCGTCATAGACACGCGCGGTGAGCCGTTTGCGGACCAGGACGAGCCGAGGCAGGGATATGCAGATGGTCCAGCACACGGTAAAGGAGCACATTGGCTCCACCTCTTACCTCATGCTCACACGGACCAACTACACCGAGTAGGTGCCCCTGATGCGTGTCAAGATGCAGCCTCGAGGTATCTGGGATGTTGAGCACTGCGTCGGATCCAAGCATGCAGAGAGGAATGCACTGCCGGCGACGCGCGCGTCATCCCCACGAAGGATAAGGCCAAGGATGCCTGGAATGCCATGCGCACGATGTGCGTCGGCGTCGAGCGTGTCTGGCAGGCCAAGGCATAGAAACTGCACCGGGACTACGAGAATCTGATGTTCAAGGATGGTGAGTGTGTCGAGGATTTTGCTCTGTGGCTTTCCGGGATCGTCATTGATCTTGTTAGAATAAATCTGAGGTGTACCGTCATTCTACCGAGAACCAAGCAATCACACAAGCATGACATCAAGATTTGTTAACGAGATTCATCATTATGGCTACATCCCTGGGGCCTGACTACGGGCCCTCCTTCCCGTGACACTGTCACAATACCGCACACCGGCCACCCGGACACCGGCTCCTCCTGTGCGCCTGTGCTATTATGTTGGCATGATGATGAACCTCGTTAACAAATCTTGGTATTATGCTTGTGTGATTGCTTGGTCCTCGGTAGAATGACGGTGCGCCTCAGATTTATTCTAACAGATCTGCAGGTGTTCGGATATGAGATCCATGACCAGGGCGGAGATAGCTTGATGCCAAACATATTTTGCAAATTCTTTCTAATAGCATGGAGTATAAACTCTAAATTATGAACACAAAAATATAATAATACAATATTATTGTCTCTAAAGCATACTTCCAATACGAGTTGGGCCTTAATGATGAAATTGATCGGGCCGTGCGGCAGGACCGCTCGGGATCAATCAACCTAGAGATTTTGGTCCGATTTCGCACTATGATGTATGAAATCAAAATCACTAATTGAGGAGTACTCCTTCCAAAGATCAACCTCACCCTCCCAGGTTACGACAAGTGGCTCCTGGGTATTTTTTTTTCGTCGATCTGTTTATTCAAAACGTTTTTACCTCTTAAACCGTACATTCAAATCTTGAACCGTTTTCACCATTGGATTCCTCGCGTCGAGATCTTCAAAACTAGATCTCATGATGTTAGATTTTGACAAACTTTTTTTGCATAGAAAAAACCGGAAGGAAAAAACCGAATAGGGAGCATGTTCGTTTTCTCTTTCCGAAAGAGGCACGATCATGCCTCTCGCGAAAGCAAGACCATGCCTCTCGCGAAAGCAAGACCGTGCCTCTCATGAAAGGAAAAAAAAAGAAAATGCATTCTTCCCGTTTCCGAGAGGCACAACGGTGCCTCGTGCGGAAGCAAAACCGTGCCTCTCGTGGAAGGA